AGACCATTAAAGAGGGAGGCCAGGTGGGGGGATAAGTCATCTGATAATTTTTTATAGAAAAGGGCGGAGAAGCCATCTTGGCCAGCTCGTTTGCCCGTTTTAAAGCCCTTAATGACTTGTTGGACTTCGGTGGCAGAGATTTCCGACTCCATAAGGTCCCTACCAGCTTGTGGGATTTCTGGAAGGGTAATCTGGGATAGAAATTCGCAGATAGTATCAAGAGAGGAAGTGGAAGGGGCCGAGTAAATCTTGGAGAGGTGGTGGCGGAATTCCGATAAGATTTTTGTCGGGTCACTGGTCCGGGTGGTCAGTCTGGTGCAGAGGGAGATTGGGGATGGGACACTATCAAATGTCCGTAGACATTTGGCTAGCATTAAGTCGGGTTTGTTGCCCTTCGCGTAAAACCTCTGTTTCGTCCAGCGCAGGGAGCGTTCAGCCCTATCTGTGAGGCAAAAATCGAGTGCAGCCCGTGTCAACGCCAGTAATTTACGGTTAGGGGTCGTGGGATTGGACTTAAAGGCTCGAGACACCTGGTCTAGCTCAATTTCGAGACTCTGGATGTGTCGGTTGCGATCACGCTTACGTTTAGATGCTATTTGAATCAGGTGACCACGGATGACTTACTTGTCGGCTTCCCAGACTGTTGATTCAGAGGAGACGTTCCCCGCATTAAGCTGAAAATAGTCAAGGGTACGCATGCGGATTTCCGAGAGTATATCGGATAGTGAGAACAAGGATTCGTTTAAGGACCAGGAGGGCGAAGGGGGCGTGCTAAGGACAGAGGAGCATACTATGAGCACTGCATCATGATCCGACCAGGGTATAGGAAGGATGTGAGATGAGGAGGCTAGGGACAGGGAGCGCAGTTGGAGAAAGGCATGGTCAATACGCGAGTGGGAGTGGTGGGGGTTTGAGTAGAAGGTGTAGTCTCTTCCTATGGTTAAACATTTTGAGAAAGGCTGCCCTAGAGAGTCTTGTTTCTCAAGAAATAGAGAGTCATTGGATTGTGTAGCATACCAACACATGAGTGTGCCATGAGGCCACAAGGACATCAAGGGTCTAACCCATGTCGAAAAAGGAATTTTAAAATTGCTGCCAGGGGTTTTTATTATTATTATTGTTACTATAATAATATAGGATTTATATAGTGCCAACAGTTGGTGCAGCGCTTTGCAAAATAAAGGGAAAGAGTACAGAAACAATACAACTTCAGTACAGGAGGGCCCTGCTCGTAAGAGCTTACAATCTAGCAGTTTGGGAAGTGCAGACATTTCTGCACATGGTACTCCCAAAGGGGTGTATTGTAGGCTACCAACCTCTAAACACCAATGTAGTTAGGGTGTAAATAGGGGAGCCACTAGTTGGGGATTCTATCACAATGTGCTATGGGATCCTGTGATTTCTAGTTATGTCCATATTAGTATACTAAGTCTAAAGTGCTCTTGTCTTTATGGCATTATAAAATTAGAATTGTTCTATTTTAAAATCAGATGATTCCTGTAAGATGACCTCTATCCGCTCCTCGTTGATCTTTACAGCATTTTCGTTGTTTAAGAATAACTGCACTTTGACTTAAATATGAATCTGAACTTGAGACTGCTCTTCTGAAGGACAACAACTGATGCTGCTATTAGTATCAGATGTTCTGTTTTGTCTCCTGTGGATTCTTTCAATTAAAGATTCGAATTACATTACAGTCATCAAAGGCAAATGCCACAGAGTCCTGTCCATGTGCATTTGGAGATGGCACATTGCAGTCAGTGTCAGGGAGCGCCCAGCAATTTTTCATTTTATGATACTCCTTTTTGTGATTAACTTAATTGTAACTCTCAGTGCAGATGTTGCCAGCTGCCTCTCAATCCTGCTTATGACAGCTTATCCCAAAAGCCCGTATACATCCTCCCGTTCAATCCAATACAAGCCAAATTATTCATTCCCTAAAGGGATTGCTTTTGGAGAGATTTATGCTTCAGTGCTATATTTTATGATGTAGCAAAGAAAATTTAGTTCGAATTGCGGTGATTTTATGGCCTGTCACACTGACATTACTTTTAATGGTTTGTAATATAAACATGTAAAGGCTTCATGTAATGAGTGGTCAAAAGGAGACTTTGTATGACAGCCGGAATCATGTACAAATATTTCCTCATCTCTGGTAATATTAAATCATATTGATTTTTGGGAAAAAGTCCAGGAATAAAACACTTTCATATAGGCCTTTGAAAATGTGTACACTGTGGTACAACTTACTAAGATGATTCAAGGGGAAAATAAACTTTCATCTGAATTTTATATATGCATCAAAAGTAGATTTATTTTTGAGATATATTGGAAACTATTTATTTCCTCATCTGAAAGAATATCACCTGAGATATAGTCCTGAGTTCTTCCTGATTAAAGGATGCAGTTAACCTTTTCCTGTCTGAAATATACTGCAAATAGTAAGTATCACTCAATGTGCAATAAATTACAATTCCAAATGCTTGCAGCGAGCAGAGAGCATCAGCTTTAGTGATACAGAGATTGATGCTGTACCACTACGTAGCCCTTAGCTATAGGCTAGGGGAGGTGAACAAGATGGATAAGTAATAGTGGGGTATTCTTTTATTGAGATGGCAGGTAAGCCAATACTTGTCATTTTGGTGCATCTGGGAATCGGATTGCAAGAGGCTAATTGAGGTTTAAACTTTAAAGTGGCTAAGCCAACTAAAACTGATAAGTTTAGATTTTTTAAATGTGTTAATTGCTTGAAGTGACTGCAGGCCCCTTGCAGCACTTAGCACCCCTTGCTTTGTTGAATGCCTGAGCAGAAGTGTGGTAATGTTGGAGCTTGGCTGCTCCCTCCTGCACCCATATATTTGCCTCACTTGCCAATAGGAATATGTGGGATATGGGAAAGGGACCACAAGCTTTGACACCACTATGAAGTGCCTCAGGCTCAGACCTCAATTCCCTATCTTCCTCTATCTTCCCACTTACTTTTTACGTGATGACCATAAATGTCCTTTTTGCTAGACATCACACATATGTTACAGAGCTCCAATTTTATTTAAAACTACAGTTAACTTTTGACTTTGTAATACAACGACTAAACTGCTGATTTAATTTTTTTGTTTTTGAGTCATGTGAATATTTGGATGAAAATATTTTCCCCAAACCAGTCTATTCAAGGATTTATGTGATTATAGAAGACAATTATAGTATATAATACGCATGAAAAGCTTACAGTTTGATCCACACCTTAGTTGTATTCCAGAATCCCACATAGCATGACAGCCTATAACTTCATTCAGCCAACTTTGCGTGATTGTTCCAGCATTTTACCGGCCTAACATTTCCAAAAAAATATTTGCCTTCCTTTTAAAGCTGAAAGTATCTATAAATATCCCACAATCATAGTTGGTCAATATCGGTGTGCAACATTTTATGTATAGTCTCAGAGCAAGGTGGTTGGCAGTCAGGTAGTATTTTAAATATATCCGTGGGTATACTAGTTAAGATTCTGTTGAAAAGCCAGTTAAAAAACAGTTATTGAAGCAAAGTGGTGGCCTTTACAGCATAAGTATAAACATATTATTGCTGAAACTGTTAGGAAATGTTTAGCTGCTCACTTCTGTGGTCAAAGAACCCCTTATTGACAAAAGAAAATCCTGAAAGAAGAACTCTACTAGATGGCCCCGGAAGCAATTCAAAAGATCTAGTTCTGCCAGGTATGAGGGGGTGGGGGGACATGACTCACTCTCTTCTTTCATTGAGATGACAGGTAAGATATTAATTACCTGTAATTTTGGTGCATGCTGGAACAAGGTTACAAGGGGTTTAATGGCCTTTACACATTGAACTTTAAAGCAAGGGATCCAAGTAATCCATTTATGGGAGTCAGGTGACTCACTCCCTTCCCTGCCACTTCACAGAGATAACACTTGCGGATTTGCCACACAGTTACCCAGCTCTTTTACATTGGACTAGTAAGAGGGTCCGCAGCCCTGTGTATGGTCCAAGTCATGACTAGGAACGTGTACAGGGCTAAGGCTTTTCGTTACCAGTGGTCAAATAGAGCAGTGGGGGAGCAAATGGATGGGAAAGTATGTGCAGCTTATAGAGCCAGGATTAAAGTGTAAATGTTGCTTTGCTCTTCATGGACAAAGCACAGGTTCACTTTATATGTTATATTGCTTTAAAACTGTAAAAAGCGATAACACATAGTAAGATATGTGTATTGGCCAGAAAAATGGAAACCCTGACATACAATGTAAAGAGGTGCATGCTTTAGAGTTTAAGTTGTAGTGTATAAAAAAAAAGAGACCTACAATAGCAGCTAAATTTGTTCAGTTTCTTTGCATACAGGCTACTAAGAACAGTCTTAAAGTCTATGGAAAGCCAAAACTGTTTTTAGTTTTAAATAGAATAGCAGCTTGCTGAAAAAAAATGTATACATTATGGATCTGGACGCAGTGTTCTTTGCACCCATGTACTTTAGCCCTTAGAAAGTTATACTTTTAGCTACTTATCGTCTTTTTAAGGTAGGCAGGTAAAAATGTACTCTACCCAAAACATTGGCTCGCTTATATATACTTAAAATACAAAACAGTTGTTATGGGGATTGAATTAATTTGCAGGTACAGTGGAAAACTTGTGTAAAGTATACAACTAAATAAATTGTATGAATATAGGGGGAACATCTATGACTTTGATTTATTTTCTGGAGTGAAAGGCCAGCATTCTGCATGTACCTTCTACATGGCTATGCAATCTCAAGTAAGCGAAAGTGGCAAGTGCACAATTTAAAGTTACCTCTTTAAAACTGTTCAGCATCTGATAATATAAGTATTCATCTGATTATCATCCGAAGAGCTGTGTTGCATGATATAAATGGTTCAAAGGATGGATCTTTTTTATCTAATCCAGTCTGATCCTTCAAATGTTTAAGATTTAATGGCAACTTGTATACTTGTAAATAATCAGCTGGGATAACCCATATTTATTCATATTTTTCACAGGGGAAGATGATGACGATGATGAATGTGGAGAGGAAAAACTACCATCCTGCTTTGACTATGTGATGCATTTTCTAACCGTGTTCTGGAAAGTCCTTTTTGCCTTTGTCCCACCGACAGAGTACTGGAATGGCTGGGCCTGTTTCATTGTGTCAATTTCAATGATCGGCCTCCTGACAGGTTTCATTGGGGATTTAGCTTCTCATTTTGGATGTACTATTGGCTTGAAAGATTCCGTTACTGCAGTTGTGTTTGTCGCCTTGGGAACATCAGTACCTGGTAAGTGGTTTGAGCTTACTGTAGTATGAAACACTGTAGTTTTGCAAGGACATTTCATATGTTTCATAAAGATAGATGCCAATTAGATGAACTATTGTACAGTATATACTGCTAAAATAACGAGAAAGTCCTCAAATAAAGACATCAGCCTTGGGTTGTATTACAAAGGGCTGAGTTCATAAACATTCCGTATATACCTTAAAGAAGAACTCTTACTAGACGTTAAAAAAGGATTGTTACATCATCCAAGAGACCCAGAGCAGATCGTTCTTGTCCCCATTAAAATATGTGCCAAAAGTTGAAGTTGAACCGTAAATGAGTCTTTCAACGTGAAAATAATCCCAAGCACACTAGTACACAAGCAAATCCCCTAGGAATGGCTAAAAGAGAAGAAATGGCTCAAAAGGGGTGGTAGGCCGTACCATACAATACACCAACAAGAATCCATTCCTTCAACAGACGGCAATACCAGTGTGTACACAGTACACCATTATATCTAAAGGGGTGGTAGGCCGTACCATACAATACACCAACAAGAATCCATTCCTTCAACAGATATTGATATTGATATTGTTGTAGAATTATTTATTGGTAAGACTAATTTGTCTTTCGTACGAGTATATCACCTTCACTCGTAGGTACTGTTTGAATAAAGATCTAATGTGTGCCTGTTCAAATATGTTGAAAAGGTCAACAATATCCAAAGGGTTGTATGTACTTTTTTACATAATTGTATTTATTAAGTATATCTACAACTTTTCTTTTTAAGTAGGGCATGTAAAAAATTCCTGTTAAATCCTCTGACACAGTTGTCACCTGAAAAAGTGTCCCCATTAGAAGACTTCCCTTCTATTTTTGTTCTGGTGGCAGCTTTTTTTAAATATTGGATTTTCATCATGTTTAGTTCCAGTGACATTGGTCATCAGTACAAAGACAGGGTAAATCTCCCTCGGGGGTAACACAGTCAGCATTGAACTTCTCACAGAGATTTTTTTTTCTACTCTTTCTAAAATGAAAAAAATGGCTTTTGGGAAGAAAGGTGAGGTCCGAGTCAAGGATGACACCTAGGACCTTGGCATGAGGGGAGGTTTGGATAGTTGTGTTATCAATCACAACTGAAATGTTGGGGGAAGAGTACACTTGTCTCTCAACCCTTTAAAGGCTGTTTACCTTTTATACTATATTACATGTTACACCCACAAGTCCACATCTTACTGTTTGAGGGGTGTGACTGGTTTCCTTTTAGGATGTACAGACTAGATAGAGAGGTATGCAGCTAATCTAATATCTAATATGTGCTTGCAGAATATATATAGCTCAAGAAAAAATCCCCTGAGTTAGCAGTTTTCCATATCCATGATAAATGTCAAATCGCCAGCTAGAACTTTAATGCTTTTGTTTTTTTAAATAAGTCAGAGGAAAAATACTGAAGTATCCAAGCACATAAAACACACATCTGTTTTTATCATCATTTTCATTTTGGCCAGGAGACTGAATTTCCCATCCGCTAAATTATTCACGATACTGATTTAACATTATAAACATCTTAATAGACTTCTTGTAGCAATTTTTCACTTGCCAGCCAGTGCCTAGGGCCTGAGGAGTTCATATGTGAAGTGCTAAGCACACATTCAGTCTGGTTTATTCTGTATACTGTATGTGTGCTTAAAGCAGACCTTTACCCCTTTTCACTAAAAACCACATCAGCATTAAGCTCTGCATGCTAATATAAAATCATCTTACATTGATAAGTTAAGTAAACATTTTTCCTGCCCCTCTTAGGTAGTAGTGATGTAGCCCATGCCTAAGAGATGCATCCTAGGAAGATTGCATCACAGAGCATTGCTGGGAAATCTCATCTGTAAACTCCAAAATCTCACAAGATCTCAGGGAAAGGCATTTTCCTCCCCTAAGATGATGTGCATGGTCACATGTCCTAGTCACATGCGCCAGAGTTCCAGAAAGTAAAGGAAGATATATGAATCTGCCCTTAGTAAAAATGGCCACTTTGAGAAGAATGGGGAGGAAAATAAAAATAAGGTATGCAAAGAATAAAAAGCCTTCAATTATCTAGAAGTATCTGTTTGTAGATTGTTATTACTCTAAAGGTGCATTTGTTGTCATGTTAAAGATAAGGATAAAGTTCCTTTTTGACTACCCCAAAAATCTTGTTTTCTGCTAATGTGACAAGTCAAATTACAGGCACTACCTTCTGCGGGAGTTTCTTTTTTTTTTGTTTGCAAAGGCTCATCTACTCCTGAGAGGATACAGACATTGCATCTCTATGTATTACCACACTGAGATTGCTCAGTTGTTATAATGAAGGCATAACTTTCCTCTTAGAAGTCAGCTTGAGAAAGGACAAACAGCAGTTTCTTTAGAACAGAGAAGATATGACTCTTCAAAAAAAGTTTGGTAAAATCATCTCGTTGAGTATAATTCACTAAAGGGGTTGTTTCCTTCTCAACAGCCTATGGTGGCTTTTTGATTTTGTCAGCCTGGTAGTGCCATGACAATATGTGTGATTAGGCCATGTATGTGGTTAAAATGAATAACTTCAGTACATCAGATTTAAAGACCCCTTCAGAACTGCATGAACACCAATCAGCCTGACCACTGACAGGTGACGTGAGGCAAAAGCTGTGTGATGCTTTGGGCCATTATCTGCTGGGAGACCTTGGGTCCTGCCATTTATGTGCATGTTACTTTGACACGTACCACCTACCTAAAGATTGTTGCTGACCAAGTACACCCCTTTATGGAAATGGGATTCCCTGATGGCATTGGCCTCTTTGAGCAGGATAATGCACCCCTGCAACACTGCAAAAATAGTTTAAGAATGGTTTGAGGGACACAACAATGAGTTTGAGGTGTTGACTTGGCCTCCAAATTTTCCAGATCTCAATTAAATCGAGCATCCGTGTGATGTGCTAGAAAAACAAGTCCAATGCATGGAGGCCCCACCTCACAACTTACAGAACTGAAAGGATCTACTGTTGACAGCTTGGTGCCAGAAACCACAGCGTACCTTCAGAGGTCTAGTGGAGTCCATGGGGGTGATTTACTAACCTAAACACACGCACGCACTAGGTGCGTGTGATTTTCACACAGCAAAACGTATTTATCAACCAAAAAGTCTCTAAAAGCATATTTCCACTAATGCCATATATGGAAAAATCATGCACATGATGCATATATAATGCTGCTTCACAGTTTAGACAAAAATGGTTAGCTCATGCATTTACATTCCTGCATTCATCAACGCAAGCAACACAACGTTGAGCTAATTTACACAACATCACCTTGCAATTCATGCTTGGCTTTGCACAACACACCTGCTGGGTGTGTACACACTACAAAGGTGTTTAGATTCCACCCATAGATCATGCTGGGAGGGAACACACTACAGAGGTGTATACTTGTTTGTGGCGTGTTTATAAGGTTAGTAAATCAACCCCCATGTCTCAACGGGCCAGGGCTGTTTTGGCAGCAAAAGAGAAACCTACTTAATATTAAGCAGATGGTCATAATGTTATGGCTGATCAGTGTACAGGTGAAACTCGAATAATTAGAATATTGTGCAAAAGTAATTGCAGTAAGTGCTGCAAAAGGGGCCCAAACCAAGTACTGAGTACATATGCATGCTTGTACTTTTCAGAGGTCCGATATTGTTCTATGTACTATCCTTGTTTTATTGATTGCATGTAATATTCTACTTTTTTGAGGTTGTGGATTTGGGGTTCTTGGGGTTTTCATGAGCTGTAAGCCATAATCATCACAATTATGACAAATCACGGCTTGAATTATCTTGCTTTGCATATAATAAGTCTATCTCATATATTAGTTTCACCTTTTAAGTTGCATTAGTGAAATAAATGAACTTTGCACGATATTCTAATTATTCGAGTTTCACCTGTATGTGTGTATGCTTTACCAAACTTTGATATAGGGAGAAATATATCAAGTATTACAGAAGTTGCAGTGTTGTGGACAGCTCACTAAAACATTTTAAGCAAACCTTTCATAAACCTACGTAGTTTAATGACGATGAAAACATACTTAATTAGTGGTTACCTTTAGTGAAAAACATGTCAGAAGGTTTAGTCGATCAAGAGGTAAAGGTACTGTATATCAAGATTTCTAAAATTATATTTAAAATATTATAGGGGACAAGCTACCTCCTGCCTCCAGAGCCACCCTACTGGGGAACTAAAGGGAAGATTGGGGGGCAGGATGGGGCAAAGGCAAAATTTGACTTCTACAAGAAAGGATGAGATTTGCATATAAATTTAGCTGCATTTATGTTCAGATCTATGGATCATTTTGGTATGAGATATTCATAGAATGAAACCTCTACATATTCAGTTGTTATTATGTCAATTTAAAATTCCCAGATTCATGATAGGTTTAATTTGCAGCTTACTTACACTTTACAATGTGCCAGCACTGAAAAACGCTGACTCAAAAGAACCGCTACTTTTAATACATATTCTAGTTCATCTACTTAGTTAAAACTTTGGTCATTGCTACATCTGTTTATCAGCCTAGGACATACAAATTAAACACATGAAATTATTTGAGCACATGAACACACGTTGTGACAATCAGATCCTTACTGGAATAATGCCTGCCATAAGCATGGGAGCCATTAATCAAGAGCCAAGAAAGCAGACCAGATTTACAGAAGCAACTTGTCAGTGTTCAACAAGCCAGTGTTATCCACATTCAGTGTGAAATCACATTCTTAAATTTGACCACGTTTATTAATTTGATATTGGTTGTTTTAAACTTCCCCAAGCAGAGACAAAGTCATTTGAAGGTTATATGGATGAATGCTTCCATGTCTCCTTGTATTATAACACACTTTATCATTAAGACAGGTAAAGCACATCCCATCTCCTCTTTTCACCCACCTGAACTTATTAGTGCTGTTAGTTTTATTCTTTTCCAGTATCTTTTCTTACACTTTCTTTTTCTTAGGTCTTATGTTTTATGCAACA